TAGATCAAATTAAAATGCTTCTGCACAATGAAAGAAATCAACAATATAAAAAGGCAAGCTACTAAATGGGAGATGTTTGCAAATGATACATTTGATAAGGGGTTAATATCCAAAATATATAAAGGAATCATACAACTTGGTAGCAAAAAACAATCCAATTAAAAAATGGGCAGAAGATCTGAACAGAGATTTTTCCAAAAAAGACATATAGATGGTCAACAGGCATATGAAAAGATGCTTATTACCAATCATCAGGAAAATGCAAATCAAAACCACAATGAGATATCACCTCACACCTGTCAGAATGGCTATTAGCAAAAAGACAAGAATTAACAAATGTCAATGAGAATGTGGAGAAAAGGGAATCCTTATGCACTGTTGGTGAAAAATGAAAAATATAACTACCATACAATCCAGCATTTCCATTTCTAGGTATTTATCCAAAGACAATGAAATCACTAATTCAAAAAGATATATGCACCCCTACATTCATTGCAGTATTATTATGGAAACAATCAATGGATGAATGGATAAAGAATTTATATACAATGGAATACTATTCAGCCATAAAAAATAATAAAATCTTGCCATTTACAACAACATGGATAGATCTTGAGGGTATTATGTTAAATAAGTCAGGAAAAAACAAATACCGTATGATTTCACTTATATGTGGAATGTAGAAAAAAAACAAAACTCATAGATGCAGAGAACAAATTTGTGCTTGCCAGAACGGGGGTGGATGAAATGGGTGAAGGAAGTCAAGATATAACAACTTCTAGTCATTAAATAAATAAGTCATGGGGATATAATGTACAGCATGGTGGCTATAGTCAACAATATTTATGATACGTGTAACTTTATATGATGATAGGAGGAAACCCGACATTATGGTGATCATTTTATAGTGTATATACAAATGTTGAATCATTATGTTGTATACCTGAAAATGTTATGTCAATTATGCCTCAATTAAAAAAAAACATGGAAAAACGTCACTAAAACAGCTGACTTAAAACTGTATGTGCTTCAAATTATGGTAGAGTTGTGTTTTGTACCATCATTTCTTTGGATAATACCAAATATCAGTATCTATAAGCATATTTTTGGAGGTTGCATAGTTTACACAGAAAGGAAACAACTGAAATCCATCAAAATGAGTACTACATAGTAGCAAAATGGAAAAGATAAATGGAGACATAAAAATTCAGATGATGGTGTGAGTGGTCATCATGGTAGGGGAGGGTCTGGGTGGAGGCTGGGGCTGTGAGTATGTTGGATTTACTCCTACTGCCTGTACAACATAAACACTATGGAGCCCATGAAGTCCAAAATATATAATCAAAGAAGGAAACAGGAATTGATACAGTTTGGTTATAAATGAATCAGAACTTATTGAATGGTCTCAATCATTATTCATCATTTTTTTCTGATACATCTAATCTTCCTTAGACCAGTAATAGGCATAATGATGTTTATCAGGAGGTGGAAGATTCATTTTTGGCAAAAGTTCAAAGGCAATTCAATAAAGAAAGGATAACCTTTGCAGCAAGTGGTGTTGGAAAAATTGGACATCCAAATGCAAAAAAATGAACCTCGACCTATAACCTTGCATATTACACAAAAATTATTTCAAAATGAATCATAGACACAAAATGTTGAAGTATAAAACTCCGAGAAGGGAATACAGGAAAAAAAATCTTCATGACCTTGGGTTACACAAAGAGTTCTCAGATAAAATACCAAATGCACTATCCATAAGGTAAACTGATAAAATGGGAGTATATGAAAATTAAATACCTTTGCTCTACAAAAGATTGTTAAGATAATGAAAAAGACAAACTGGATTAAGCAAAATATATTTATAAGTCACACATCTAACAAAGAGCTTATATCTAGAATATATAAAGAACTCTTCAAAACTCAACAGTATGAGAACAAACAGCCCAATAAATAAATGCCTCACAAGATATGTGGATGTCAAATAATCACTTGAAAAAGTGGCAAGCGTATTAGCCACTAGGAAAATGCAAATTAAAAACAGTGAGGTACCATCAGACACCTATTAGAGTAACTGAAAACAAAAACAAACTGACAATACCAAGTGCTAACAACAGTGTAATAACTGGAACTTTCATACATTGATGTTGGGAATGTAAAATAATACAGTCACTTTGGAAAATAGTTTGGTAATTTCTTGTAAAGTTAAAAACATGTAGTTACCATATGACAGCACCTCTACTCCTAGGTTACCTAAAGAAATGAAAATGTCCACACAAAAGTACAAACAGTGCCTTTATTCATGATTGCCAAAACCTGGAAACAACCCAAACTGCTATCATCTGGTGAATGGATAAACAGATTGTGGTTCACCCATAAGGACTACTACTCAACAATAAAAACAAATGAGCAATATGTGTGTACATATGTATGTATATTCATTCATTTGTTATATATTGTTGTATATAATCATTTGTTATAAATTGTTATATATATAAAGTATTTATGTATATTACATATATTTAACAACAGAATTTATAACATCAAGAATTACAACATACTTAAGAGTAAGTTTAACAAAATATGAGGAAGACTGACCATTACCCAGCATTGCTAAGAGAAATTAAAGACCTAAATAAAAAGAAACAGATGTTCATGAATTGGTGGACTCAATAGTGTTCAGATGTGAATTATCTCCATATTGATCTATAGATTCAATACAATCCATATTATAATCCTCCCATTTTCCCCCTTAGCAATTGACAAGCTGATTTTAAAATATGTAACTGAAAAAGACTTTCAACAAAGCAGTAGCAGTTTTGAAGTGTGCAGTAATCAATACTCTGGTATTGTTAGAATAGACACATGGTACAATAGTATATAAGAGTATTCGGAAATAAATGTTATGCAGTCTACTGATTTTCAAAAAGTAACTCAATGGAGGGAGAGAATTCGTTTCAAGAAATGGTCCTAGAACAAATGTGTATGATTGTCCCTTCCTTTAACACCTTTATTAATTGCATACACTGTGACAATAAGTTTCTAATTAATTTTGTTATTTTATTTTTAATATATTTATTTATTTGAGAGAGACAGTGAGAGAGAGCACAAGTGGAAAGGAGGGGGAGAGGCAGGCTCTCCGCTGAGCAGGGAGCCCGATGAGGGGCTCAATCCCAGGACCCTGGGATCACGATCTGAGCCGAAGGCAGATGCTTAACTAACTGAGCCACCCAGGTGCCCCTGGAACATTAATTTTAAGATAACATTAATTTTAAAATTAGGGGCACCTAATTTTTAAATTACATTAATTTTAAATAACATTAATAACATAAAATAACATTAATTTTAAAATTGGGGACACCTGGGTGGCACAGTTAGTTAAGCATCTGCCTTCGGCTCAGATCGTGATCCCAGGGTTCTGGGATCGAGCCCTGTATCCGGCTCCCTGCTCAGTGTGGAGTCTGCTTCTCCCTCTCCCTCTGCCCCTCACCCCTGCTCATGCTCACATGTGTGTGCTCTCTCAAAATAAATAAATAAATAAATATATTTTTAAATAAAATTAATGTTCCAATTACAGTTCGGGCCTCATATCAAAATTTCTGATACACAGGCATCTCATTATTATCTTCTCTGAGTAAACCGTAATTTCATAATTTTTGGTTTTCTCTTTAATCCCAAACTTATGCATACATGTAATCACTTCCCAAATTGAGATGTTAAAACTATCACTATTCAGCTCATTAATTGCAAAAGAAGCTGTACAATGGAAACCTCCAGCAGTGACTACCCTATCAAAGTTGCAACACTTAGTATTATTAATTATGGGAAAACCTGATGTTGTGTGTTTATAAAAAATGCCGCATTACCTTGGAAGTGTTTTTCAGAACCCAGTGAAATCTGTGTAACCTCCAATATGGAAAAAATCTGGGTAGAGGAACAAGTTAGGTGACAGCGTGAGGAAACAAATACAGAATGTGAGGCATTCTCTAATACAACTCCCTTGGATTTTTCCCAAAAAATCATGTAAAAAAGGTGGGGCTCAAGAGTAAAAGGCTAATATTTAGGAGTAAAGCCTACAACTTCCTCTTACGTGTAGAAATAAACATGTACACATGGAGAGATAAGAATATAGAGATAAAATAAATAAGGCAAAATGTTACAAAGATGGTGGCAATTTTGCTATTCTTTCAACTTTTCTCTATTTTGAAATGTCTATGAAAAAAAAAGTTGTAAAAGAAATTTCCAAGTGGGCATTATTCTATCTTATTATTAATTTTGAACTTATCTTGAATTTTGGACAAAGAATGTGGATTATAGGTTATTCTCAATAACTTCATACACATTAAAAGGCTGGGTATCTTTCAAGAATTGTTTGATTCAACTTAACAGATAAGTTCTAAATGAATATCCTCTCATGTTTCTTTTTTTCTACAAAGTTTTATCCAGAAAGATTTATCTAAAATTCTCAAATGGATACACAAATATAAGGGTATATCTAAATTAACTACTCCTGTAGGGTCTTACTCTCAAAATTTCACTACCAGTTTAAAAAAATGCTAATGGGGCGCCTGGATGGCTTGGTCAGTTAAGCATCTGCCTTCAGCTCAGGTCGTGATCCCAGGGTCCTAGAATCAAGCCCCACATCGGGCTCCCTGCTCTGCGGGAGGCCTGCTTCTCCCACTCCCCCTGCTTGTGTTCCCTCTCTTGCTGTGTCTCTCTCTGTCAAATAAATAAATAAAATCTTTAAAAAATTAAAAATAAAAAATGCTAATAATAGGGCACCTGGGTGGCTCAGTCAGTTAAGCGACTGCCTTCGGCTCAGGTCATGATCCTGGAGTCCCGGGATCGAGTCCCGCATCGGGCTCCCTGCTCAGCGGGCAGTCCGATTCTCCCTCTGACCCTCCTCCCTCTCGTGCTCTCTATCTCTCATTCTCTCTCTCAAATAAATAAATAAAATCTTTAAAAAAATGCTAATAATAAAATTAATAAATATTGAGCATAGGTTTTTACAAGTACATAGGTTCTATAACCACCATTTTGAAGCAATGCCCTGAAATAAAAAATAAGGTGCCTAATGTCAAATAGGTTGATGGTGGTGGCATGACAATGACAAGAACTGACATCTGTGCTATGGCAGACTTTCCAACATATATTAACTGTTTTTTTAAAAATCAGGATGGATTATCTGAAGTTTAGCAATGATTTAAGAGTAGTGGAAGGTTTTTTTATTCACTAGTTCATTCAACCATATTAGAATATGTCATATAAACTTTCATGCTATCAGTGCTGTATTAATGTCTCCCACCTTTTCTGAACTGGCCAATCCAGAATATTCGGATTCAAATATTATAAACACAAGAATGACAAAGGCTTTATGTTTTCTGAATTCCATTATGAATTCTCTAATAGGAGAATATTTTCTAAAGGCCTACCAAGATTTTTAACATCCATGTTTCTCATTAGCATAAACTCTCTGACGCTGAACAATGTTTAAGCCATACATAATGGACTTCCCAAATTCCTTAAATTTTTAGGGTTTTACATGCATATGGTTTCTCTGATGTACTTTAAGGGCTGAACTATATCTAAAGGGCTTCCCACGTTTTCTGCATTTAAAGGGTTTCTCACCAGTGTGTATCCTGATGTTCACTAAGGAATGAATTAAGTCTAAAGGTCTTGCCACATTCCTTACATTCAAAGGGTTTCTCACCAGTATGAACACTCTGATGTCCAATAAGTTGTCCATACACAGTAAAGGCCTTTCCACATTCCTAACATTCATAAGGTTTCTCACCAGTATGAATTCTTCCATGTTGTACAAGGTAGGAGGCACAACCAATAGTTTTTCCAAATTCCTTGCATTTATAGGGTTTCACATCAATGTGAATTTTCTGATGTTGTGTAAGATGTACATGTACTCTAAAGACCTTCTCACATTCCTTACATTCATAGGGTTTCTCACCAGTATGAACCCTTTGATGTACAGTAAATTGATGGTAACTAATAAAAGCCTTTCCACATTCCTTACACTCATAGGGTTTCTCACCGGTATGAATCCTCTGGTGTTGAACAAGGTATGAGCCAGTGCTAAAGGCCTTGCCACACTCTTTACACTCATACGGTTTCTCACCTGTATGAAGTCTTTCATGTTGAACAAGGTATAAGGCAGGACTAAAGGCCCTCCCACATTCCTTGCATTCGTAGGGCTTTACCCCTGAATGAATTCTCAGATGTGCATTAAGAAATGAACTAAGTCTAAAGGCCTTCCCACATTCCTTACATTCAAAAGGTTTCTCACCAGTATGAATACTCTGATATCGAGTAAGTTGTCCATACACAGTAAAGGTCTTCCCACATTCCTTGCATTCATAGGGTTTCTCACCAGTATGAATTCTCTGATGTTTAACCAGGGGTAAGCTACTACTGAAGGCCTTTCCACATTCTTTACATTCATAGGGTTTTTCACCAGTGTGAATTCGCTGATGTTGAACCAGGTATGAGAAGGTACTGAAGGCCTTCCCACATTCTTTACGTACAAAAGGTTTTTCACCAGTCTGAATAGTCTGATGCCAAAGTTTTCCATACACTATAAAAGCTTTCCCGCATTCCTTACATTCATAGGGTTTCTCACCTTTATGGATTTTTTGATGTTGAACAAGGTATGAGCTACTATAAAAAGCTTTTCCACATTTCCCACATTCATAGGGTGTCTTAACAGTATGAATACTCTGATGTATAGTAAATTGATGGTTATTACTAGAGGTCTTCCCACATTCCTTACATTCATATGGTTTCTCACCAGTATGAATTCTCCCATGTTTAACAAAGCCTGAGCCTCTAATAAAAGCCTTCCCACATTCTTTACATTCACAGTTTCTCAACAGTTTGAATTCTCTGATGTCGAACAAGGTATGAAAAGGTGGCAAATTCCTTACATTTATAAGGTTTCTCACCAATATGAAATCTCTGATGTATGGTGAGTTGATGTCCATTACTAAAGTTCTTCCCACATTCTTTACATTTGCAGGTTTTTTCACTAGAATGTGTTCTCTCATGTTGAACAAGGTTCGAGCCTTGACAAAACGTGTTCCCACATCCCTGACATTCACATGATTGCTCTCTGTTAGGAAGTCTCTGATGTAGAGCAAAAGATGTACATTTCTCAATAGTGGCATTTCTTTAGAGCTGTCTCATCCCTCAACTGAAAATCTGAAAGAAAACAAACAAAAAAAACCCCCCAAATATTCTGTTTTCCTATATGAGAAAATATAGGAATAGAGATTTCTATGGAAGAAAAGAGACATTGAAAATATCTACTAGAAATAAATAGCCTAGGCAATACTAAAATACTCTTACAAAAATCAAAAACAGGTCAAAGAGAAATACAGAGATTAATGAGAGTTTATTTAAAATATCAAGGTTGGTGATAAAATAGGTTTCACTTCTGATATTAGGTGTGGATCAGAATCTTTGAAGAGCTTGTTGAGAAACTGATATTCCAGCATTATCCCAGACGTCCTGAATCAGAATATACAAGGCAATCAAGTTCCTGGGCACTGATATGTTTAACATTTCTTACAAATGTTTCTGATACAGATGAAATTTCATTTCCCCCCACTGTGGCTTCTCTTTACACTTAGAGTAAAACCCATGCTTCTTTCATTAATATGATCCCCACTTACCTATCAGGCCTCATATCAAGTCATAATTTTCTTTGTTCCCTATTTACCTCACTTTCCCCTTTCAGCACTTGGAATGTGTCACAAATTTTCTCATCTTTTGGTTCCATCTGCAGGTGATGTCATCTCCCAAAAATTCTTTGGCATGTGTTGTTTGCAGACTGGATCTTTCTCATCCTATATATGTTCAAGGTAAAATGTCACTTTATCAGGATACTGTAAATTGCTGACCTTGTCTAAGGATGTCCATGTCTTTATCTTCTGTTCTAACACTTACTTCTTGTAATTCCTATCTGTTTTCAATTATATAATTATTTCTCTTTGTCAAAATTTTAATTTACTTCTCCCAAACCTACCTGTGATAAATATTTTGGCCTTCATGACCTTTGCCCACATCATGCCTGTGAATATGTTGCATCACATGGCAAAAGATGTGTAATTAAGGTTACTAATTAGTTGCTTTAAGATGGAGACATTAACCTGGCTTATCTGGGTTGGCCCTAAAAAGCAGAGCTTTCTCCTGGCTGAGGGCAGAAGGGGAGTCAGAGACCTTCAAAGTGTGAGATGGACAAGACTTGCTGGTTGCTGGCTGGAAGACAGAGCGGGCCACATGGAAAGTGTGAGAAGGAAATAAATTCTGCCAGTAACCTGTGAGCTTGGAAGAAGACCCCATGCCCCAAAGAACTGCAGTCACAGCTGATACTTGGATTTAGCCATCCTGTGCTGAACTGATCTATACAATTATTTGATTACATAGGACTATAGTCTTAAGCTACTAAATTTGTGGTAATTTGTTACAAAGTAATAGAAAACGAACACACTCTCCAAAAAGCAGGCCCAACCCCTATTTCATTCAGCACTGAACTATAACTCGCTAGCACACAGCAGAAATTGATTGCACAAAAAGATAAATCTCTAGACAAAAGAAATACTTAGGATATAATTAAAAGACAATATCATACAAATAACTCACTGATAACCCATTAATATAATATAGATAATCCTTGAAGAAATAAACAATTTCTGGAATGAGGCAGGGAAGGTACAAGATGAACCTCAGATATCTTTGCCAAAAAGTCAGGTAAATTTTGAAGACTCATAGGTTTCTCAAGAAACAGAAGAGACTTACTATGGAGCTCTGTATGGCAAATACAATGACAAAAGGAACACATGAATGATTATTTTCGATTATACATTCTGAATCAATGATAATGGATGGATAAAAGATGAATCCATAGTAATTCCTGTAAGCGAACAGAAAAAAAATAATTTTTAATCTTTGTTGTTGAATAATCTCACACTTAGAAAAAGTATTTAACTACTAGTAAAGAGTCAAATAATTTGTCTTTCTCTTTTCATTGGAACTATGTTTCAAGATAAACAAAAAGTACTAGTTTAGAATACTAAAATATTTACACAAGAAACTATAGTAACAAAGTACCTTCCTACAAATAATGATATTTTTTATTCTGATGAAGATTAACAACGTGACAAGTTGCTAAAGAAATGAATAAAGTAAGAGGAAAACCACACAGATTACTGTTTAGTTACAAGGGGAAAAATTAAATAATGTGGGTTTGGACTGTTATCACTCTAATCCAGTGGTCAATTTTTTTTTTTTAAGATTTATTTATTTTACAGAGAGAGCATGCATCTGTGTGACTTGGGGGAAGAACAGGAGAGGGAGAGAGAGAATCCTCAAGCAAACTCCCTGCTGAATGTGGAGCCCAACACGGGGCTTGATCCCAGGACCCTGAGATCATGACCTGAGCCAAAATCAAGAGTTGGCTGCTTAACCCACTGAGATAAAAATGTTTACCTTTAAAAAATATTTCCATGTTATGTGATAAGCTGTACAGGCATTTTGACCAGAACCAGACCACTGGGATGGCCCCTACAGATAAGTATTGAATTTGCACGCAAGAGTCAACTGGAAAATTGGATCAGATATGTTATCTCATTAAACTGACTGTCTGCCTTTAGGATGATTTCTGTTATCTCTTAAGATCATTTTGGCCCATCAATTCTCCAACTTCTCAGAAAAAAAAAAAGAGCTATTTAGATCATTTCATTCAAAAAGGAGAAAATCTGGGCATTGACTATTGTCAAAAAACTTCAACCACCATTAAAGGAGAATTTTGAACTGCTTTCTTCTGCTCTCAGGGCTTTTCACGTCATACTATACCAGATGACCTCAAAATGGGGAGAATTATACAGCACTGTGGTTCAGGACCCCTAGATTTGGGTCACGTCACAAAGGTATAGCACTCGTATCCAAGAAATTGGATAGGCAGTGGTTCTAGACAGATTCTATTTAGAAAATATACTGGCCCAACAAGGCAGAGATATGACTCTTAAGAGAATGTTGTACTCACATCTTTAAAGACCTCTCTGAGATCTAGGAACCCAGGAAACAAGTAAGAAATCACCAAGTTAGGTAATAAGAATAATTCCCTCCATATTGGGTTCTGTCGGCTCTTTGGATCAGGAATGGAATCTGTTCTTTTGGTTGAATTTGACTACTAGCCTCTGATCCTGGTTTAGAAGCAGACTAGAAATCCTGATCATAATATTTCTCATAGTACTGTCTATACTACAGCATTCAAATGTATAATCTACAGTCCTAAATGCTGTTGTGCTACCATATTCTTATCAACAGATCCAAATAATTTTCCAAATAAAAAAATAAGAAAATACACTTTCAAAAGGTTGAAATGACTTTCATATACACACAACCATGACACATCCAACAACTGTGTACATTTGGAGAATTTTGCTCCCGAGAAGATAATGTTCTATCCTCCAGATAAGGCTGAAAAATGACCTAAAAGGTAGTAGGGGAAACCAAGAAGTGAAACCAATATAATTCCTTGTCTCTGGGTTAAACAAAATTGAGAAAAACATACTTCCTGGGACATGTCTTAACCTTCCATAAATTATCAGGGCCCATGGGATTAAGTTTTAGTTTTTGAGTTTTTTTTTTTTAAGCAGTTCTAACTATTTGTAAGAATTAATATTTTCTGACTTTTATTCTTTCTTAAAGACCTTCCAAAGACAAAAATTCACTTATTTTCAAAAAAGAATAAATTTCTTTCTACCTTACAGTTACATAGGGTTCTACTGGATCTTTTCATGGAACTAAGATATACAATGGGATACCAATCATCTATTTTTCCTTTAAGAATAAAAGAATAATGTTCCCTTGGGACATTTTTCTGTTTCATCATCTGAAAAGCTATTTCATCATTATCAATTATATCCCAGTGTGCAAAAAAGAAAAATTTAAAATAAGGAAGTGGAAGAATGCTGGAATTGCCCAGAAAGATGATACAGTAGTGAAATAAATCATTACTACATTGTCCTTCAATTTTCTCAATGTGTTGCTCAAAGGATTGCACCCATCACCTTTTAAGGTTTCAAAGAAGACTTCAGACATCAAATTTGTGCCTTAAAAAATATTTAGCATTTGGGACGCCTGGGTAGCTCAGTTGGTTAAGCATCTGCCTTCGGCTCAGGTCATGATCCCAGGGTCCTGGGATTGAGCCCCGCATCGGGCTCCCTGCTCAGTGGGGAGCCTCCTTCTCCCTCTGCCTGCCGCTCCCCCTGCTTGTGCTCTCTCTCTGTCAAATAAATAAATAAAATCTTTAAAAAATATTTAGCGTTTATTGAACCCAGTTGAGAATTCAAAATTTTTCATTTTCTACCCATTATGGCAAAGATAAGCAAAGTGACAAAGAAAGACACTTCATAAACATCATGTAAATCAGAAGATGAGTGCAAAGATAAAGGAAGCAGTGCTCTAGAGCAGCCTGTCCAATATGGTAGCCACCAGCTCTGTGACTAAACTGAACTGAGAGGTGCTGTGAGTGTAACATACACACCAGATTTTGAAGACTTAGAGCAAAGAGAAATGTAAACTATCTCATTAGTAATTTTATAGTGATTGTACATAAAAACTGATATTTGGGATATATTGAAATAAACAAAATGCATTATTAATTACCATTTTCTTTTTAAATTCACCACTAGGAGATTTTAAATTACCTATGTGGCTTGCATTACATTCTAGATGACAAAATGGTATGTGGTGTACTATCTTACTAATATTGTTTACAGTAAAAAAAGACCACTGAGAGACAAGTTGCATATGGACTCAGAAAATAGGAAAAGTCATCGGGAGGCCAATTTTGTAGTGCGAACTGGGGGTGATGGTGGTTTGGATTAGAATGTTAGTGGTGGAAATTGGTGAGAAGGTATGGCACTCATAATATATTTTGAACATAGAACGAACAACATGCTGGTGTTCCTGCTGTGTGATATTCCAAATAGTTAAAGCCAAGATCATCAAAGGCAGTCTTAGTCTGAATGTTCATTTGAGCCTAAGATGACCCTCTCATAGGTGCTGCAAGTTAAAAAAAATGATTTTCTTGTTGTGGTTATAGAGAATAATGTCCTTTTCTTAGTATATTCTTTTTTTTTAATTTTTTATTGTTATGTTAATCACTATACATTACATCATTAGTTTTTGAT